TATGGAAATTAACGCGACGCATTGAATAAATTACTTTTAACAGTTACATTTGAAAACTTTAACATTCTTCACACATGATACCACTAATCGTGTACCATACAGGTAAACTTCTTAATAGTTTTCTGTAGCTTACACGAGTGCTACACAGTTTAAAATGCGAATTATATTGTTTGACGTTTTAAAATTACTTTGACTACGGTTACTTTCAGTTGATCAGCAGCAGCCGTGGTTACCATTAAAAGTGTTTAATTTAAACATACGAGATATTAACTTAGTTATTGGTTAATCCTTTACAATACACTAATATTTACAGCACAGCCCGTACGATAAACGTTAAAGCCAATATTTTACAATACAAGAAACTAATTTTGTAAGTCGAACGGAAAACTGTTTCACTCCTCGGTAAATTTTACACTGTAAAATTTATCACCAACGCTTGCCAAAATAGTTTAACAAAACTACGATAATGTAACGCGACTATTTTTATTTTCCTTCTCTATTTGTACATATAAAAATATATTAAATTAAATACAGATAAAATAACATTGCTTCAGTTTCGCTGTATATACATAATAACTTTATTTACACTATTTTACTACACATCTAAATAAAAAAGTAAATAAAAAAAAGATTTAAAATACTCGCAATATGATTCAAAATTAAATACTTGCCGTGTATTGCTGTGTAAAGCATTCATACACTGTCGTTTATAGATAGGCATTCAAGCGCCAAGCTACGATGATCCACAGATAAGTAAAATAGTTATTTCATTTATGCATAATTCAATTAAGAATAAAAAAATAAAATACCGTTGCCCCCCGAGGGGCATGGTACTAAACAGTTCTTTTACAGGCAAGTATTTAATTATAGATTGTACCCCCTCGCTCAAATGAAGCAATTACTTTCGGTTGATCCGTTGTTTCCGTAAGATTCGAACCCAAGACTTCTCGCGCGGGGAACGCAATGCAAACGATACTTTTTTCTATTGTCCACACATTTTTTAACTGTAAGTTTTCCTTAAATATCATATCAATATGATAAAACTGAATAGTTCGTTCGTTTGTTTGTTTAAACACACTAGTTTTAGGAACGACTGGGTCAAATTGAAAAAATAATTTTGTGTTATAGAGGGTAGACTTATAACATTAGGTTGCAATCAAAAGGAGCTAAGAAACAAAAGGAACTGTATATAAAAAAGTTATTAATCTTTAAAAGATTTAAAATATAAAAATAAGTCTTAATCTAAATAAATGTCCGATAGTTTATGCCGATCGTTTAGCATTAACTTTTTTTTTGAACTAAACTTTTGATCATTCATATGGCAAACGAACGGCAGGCCAGCTTGTGTATTTAAAAACACCGTAGGGGGCTCGTGGTGTGTTTACCTGTTCTGGTAGGCTACTGTCTCCGAGGGGGTTGAAGTATGATTTACCACACTCCCCACGTCACTATTGCCCGACGTGGGCGCAGTTAGGTATTCACACCAGCTAGCGTAAAATATATAAACAATCAATTGCCTAAATAGTTATAACTAGCTATCTCAGCGACTTCGTCCGCGAGAATCATTATTTTGGGCATCCAAATTATTTTTTGCAAACACGACGCCGGTTGCATCCATTCCCGTCGTTCTTGCAAGTTAATCGTAAGAGATAGACATATAGCGTCGGGGGCTATTTTAATTATTTCAATAGGAATCATTCTTTCATACATATTTATTGAGTATCTTGAACAGTTTTTACAGAGTGCGCCTCGGAAACCCATAATGATGAATCATTTTACCAACTTTTTTTCACATTCCTCGCTGTATCTTTGCCTATATATATAGCTTTCCTCGATAAATGCTCCAACCAACACAAAAATAATTTAAATAAAACACTTTAACGTCACCACGTCTCCCCATGACCATGGCTGCTGCAAAACATCCGAAACGTCGGGCCGAAGTTAAAAATCATTTTCAAATAAGTTTAACTAATATATCGCGTTTTAAACCATTCAAGTGTTTTATTTAAATGTGTACTACTCGCGTAAACTATAGACAGTATTTTACAAAAATAATTTTCAATTCGAACCCGTAGTTTTTGAGATTAGTTCATTCAAACAAACAAACTTCAGCTTTATATATTAGTATAGATAACTAACATACTGGCTATCTACTAGCATACTAGCTAGCTGAACTAGCTGTACATTTATGCTGCAACATAACGCGTGACGGATTACTTTTAGAAAACTCTCATGAATGTGTTGTCGTTGTGCGATTTTGTATTTAACATTTTTCGGCTGAAAAGTAGAATTACAGTTAGCGCCTTTTCATCTACATCATTTGAGTTTCTTGTTTTTATTCAGTCTATTTCTGGTTCTTTCAGTTGACGACGTATCTGGTTCAGTAGTATTTAAGATTAATAGTGGACGCCTAATACGTTCAGTTCCCTGCCTGTATTTTTTTTAATAACGTTTGCACGATCAGACTAATTATCTTAAGATAATTGTTTGATAATAGGTGGCTCAAACTCCCCAGACTCTGTCGTTCTCTAAACAGATTCAGTGGCCTAGTCGATATTTACCATGACTCACCCAATTAACTCCGTCGATTACTTATTAATAAATTTTATATCAATGTATAGGCACTTCATTAGAGTTTTTTTTTTCATATTTTATCGTATAAGTTAATTTCCACTTAAATTTTACAATGTGTGCTCTTCTCTCTTATAATATTGCTTCGCTTGCCGTATTCGCGTATAATTGTTCTTCGCAAATTATTGCGTCCCCTTAAACTTGTATCTTAGGTTAAGTATTTAGTTGTAAGAATGTTGGTAAATCAAATAAATAAAAAAATATAAAATAACGGTGTCAACTATTTCAGTATGGAAATTTAAACAGGATTTGAACGCGAGATTTTATGTCGTTGTTTTTTAAAAAGAGCATTTTTCTCTATTACTGATTGTTTGACAGTAGTTCTTAGACACTGAATAAAAAAGTACTTTGAACGTACAGATTAACATTCCTTACGTTTATATTTAATCTACTTTAACCCAGATAAGCCTGAAACTAAAATTTTCTGAAAATTTTGAAAAAAGTTATATTATTTAGTTTATTAGATCTTATGCAACATAAAAAAAATTATGAAAAAAAAATTAAGTGTAAGGCTTTCAGGGAAACAGCCGTCCTATATGTAGGACAGTAGGATAATAAGAGGAAATAAAAGATCATTTATGACAAAACAGAATGTAATCAAAAAGTGTAGTTTATTAGATAACTATTGATTATATTACATATTGTTATATGTAATTTACTAGATTAACAGTATTTATGAATGATATGTTTCAAAACACTTGACACACACTCCAACATCACATTTCTTGCAACGTGTCAAACATTTTTTGTGACATTGATTGATTGTATGAATATTGTAATAAAATTAAATAAAAAAATAATTAAAATTTCACTACTCCGTTACATCGTCGTCGGTTCAGCTGTAATCATATAAGGTTAATAATTATTGGGTCGTGAGTTTAATTCAGTCATGTTTTTTTTAATTATATGTCTACATATAATAATATTTTAATCAGTTTGGATACTAAAGAAATAATATTGTAAAGAAAGTGAAATTTGACTGTCTCGTGGGTTCAGCTAAAGTAATATAATTTAATAACCAACGGTAGAATAATTATATATTTTTTTCCGAGTCTTACAGGTTAAAAGATGTGGAATATATGTTCTCGTCCTAAAGCCAAAACAGTTCGATAGTGTATCTTGAGTAAATGGTATTGGGTTATTTCACTTTGTAACAAGTAAACTTATCTTCATCATCATCTCCAACTCATCGTCATCTTCATCTGTCCTCATCTGTACCAAAACAAGTGACATTTAACAAAATACCTGCTTTATTGCACATATATAGCGCAATTAATTAGGTGCTACGCCGTAGTGCGTAGCGATCTACGACTGGCCTACGAATATTAAATGGAAATATCATTTTATAATATTCTTGATGGCCAACTGAACCAAAGAATCTTATTTGTTAACGTTGAGTTTGAATAAAGAATGTAAGCTATTATATAAATGAGTTGTATGAGGCTAAAGATATGAAGAGTAGAAAAGTAGGACATTGTTCGTGTAGTGCGCCTTTTGCGAAATGTGTGTTAGGCGGCTGGCGTTGGGTCACAGCCAAACTGTCTCCTAGCGAAATCTCAATTGATGCTCGGAAGATATTAGCGAGCTATACATAGTTTTGTCCTGTATCAGTGACTGATGGATCAATGCACATCTTAAACCTAGAGACGTAATTTCTTTAATTGGCGTAGACATAAGCTTGAAGTTAAAGAGTCCTAAATATACGTGATAAGTAAATTTAATTTCATAGTACAATCCTTTAGTACAATTTTTAACATTCTTCCAAATTAACAAATCATGTTGTCATATGTCCTCGGAATGCATTTAGTCGTAAATAAGCGCTTTAATTTTTCAATACTGCTAAAAATATATACTATGTTTACATGCATTGTTGGAACTACAAATAATAAGATTACCTTGCATATACAGTATCAACATGCGATCTTTCATTAGGTGCAGAAACGAGTTGCCTTGACAATCGATAGTTAACGTATGCTGTGCTCTGTGCAGTGTTGCCAGGTTTTTAGTGATAAAGTGCACATTTATAGTAAATACTCGGCAAAACTATTGTTAAAATATACCTCTATATTTCGCTTATAAGCTGTTAAAAACTCATTTATCAAGACGCATTCGTGTGCTGTTTTTTTCAAACGTCTATTTTTTAGTCATATGTAAATGTGGTAATGACATTTCCAAATATGGCAGTTAGTACTAGAAAATGGTAACACAGGTCTAGGCTGTGTAGAATTCAGTTCAAGCGAATTTTTATGCCACGACACTGTGCTGCTACGGTTAACATTGTATATCCAAATATTTTATGCATACATGTCAATGGTAATTTCTGGTGAATTGAACTGGTGATCAAAACAATTGAATTTCTCGTGGTGGTATTAGAAAGAATGAACGACATGCCCTTGTTTTAGTTGATAAGCCCGAGTTGACAAATACACCTTGGAACGCCGTGAATGTTGGGTCAGATCAGGGGGAGAAGTGCGGTTAACAGTTAACGGGAGGAAAGCTGTGCGTGTGGTGTAAGCGGTGCGGGCCTGCGCGCGCAGAGGAGAGGGGGGCGGGCGGTGCGCGGGCCAGTGGCGTGCAGCGCGCGCCGCGGACGCCCGCACCGGCCGCACCGCAGTGACAAGCAGCCCGCCATGCCTGGCCCGCGCCTCTCCCGCGCCTGACAGCATGGCCCAACCGACCACCACACGCAGCCACGCTCTGACCACGGTACGGATTCGTACTCTAACAGTGATAGTGTTCCCGTCCGCAGCCCGAAACTAGCCGCGCGCGGCCGCTAGATGGCGCCGCGAGTCGCTCCTGCGGCGAGCTCACTCCGCCCGCGCCCCGCGCTGTCTTTTGTTTCACGCTCCTGTTCGTGTGTATAAAATAATAATTGTTCGGTGACGGTGGTGAAGAGGGCCGCGCGGCGCCGAGCCGTCGCTGACGTCAGCGGAGCCCGGGCTCGCGGCGAGCGCTCCGGCCGCGGCTTCCCCGACCTTCCGTCTACCGACACTATCCGTTACATACCCAATACCCCCTGTTCCATCCCGAGCTCGAATGCGCTATATCCGTAGGTACATATTCTTCCTACATCGAACGCAAACACCAAATCTAAAGTGTGTAGGTTTCATTCATCTAATTGACTCGTAGGGTCGCCGATTGATCCGTACCTAGCAACGCCTCTGTGGACGGACGTCTCTTGTCGAGTTCGAGCTAAATGCTTTGTGGTTTTATTACGGAAATGGAGACGCGTGAGGCGATATTTCTGAAGGGATTTATTTAGTTGAAGGAGTGCGCCCGTGCCTCGCGCCGCGCCCATGCTCCTAAGTCTGGTAAGTGTTACTTTAGGCTTCATTCGATTTGCCATTTTAACGCGAACCCTGTGTAGGTGTAGTTACTTTGTCGATCTCGATCTATGGGTGGAAACCCTCACGTGGATAAACATATGCTACATGTAAACACGTCAATATGAAGGCTTTATAGGTCGTATCAAATCAATAACGATTAATTCATAAGCACACTTATGAACGTCAATACAGTTAAAAAAAGATGATACTTACTTCTAACCCTTCAATTAAGGGCGTAGAACAAACGAGAAGAACTAAGAAGACCTCACCGCCACTCCTCATCGCTAAGGTTAATTTTACAAGTGTCTTCACGTACTTACATTGAAGTGGCATTAACGCAAAGGCCCGAATAACTGGGCGTTTTATTTCTCACAACGTTCGTTATACATGAAGCTCTTAATATAATTTGGAAATCTAAATAAAACACTTTAACGTTTTAAAACGCGATATACTAGTTAAACTTATTTGAAAATGATTTTTAACATCGGCCCGACGTTTCGGATGCTTTGCAGCAGCCGTGGTCACGGGGAGACTACGGCTATAGTCTGGAAATTTAAGGTCTTCACTTAGTTTCGGATAAGTACTCTACAAAAGTATATACATGCGTCATCTATTCGTTTTTTTGAGAAAGATTTTGGAACACACAATTACATTAGTTGCCATCGTTATCCAAGCTTAAAGCTCTAAAGGTGATATAAAGTTTCTGGAAGCGAAGGGAAACTCATCTTGTCATTTTCTTGTTGATTATGTGTAGCTAATTCAATATGTTAACTATTGACAATTAATCAAGCGTAGATTGATTGGTTGATTCTAGACAAGCGTGTAATTAGACAATAATTATTTTTTCTAGCTAATCCGGCAAGTGTTGTTGTTTGCGACAATAATATTATGTTGATACAACTTATCAAGTATTGCATTAATTTCGACCAGATTTGATTACCATTTAAAAGTTCTCGCGATTTAAGCTTAAAAGATAAACATATACTGTCGCGGACATTTTATAGACCTTTTAAAGAGGACTCTCTCTTTTAGACATATATTTTTTGGTTTGTTGGACCGTTTACGCAGTGCACGCAACGGAAGCCCTCAAAGATTTTGCCACATTTTTCACTATTGCTCCTATTAGTTGCAGCGTGATATAGCTTCAAGCCTGGCTTATCTATCAAAAAATTAATTTTTAATTGAATAATTATTCTGAAATCGAGTATTCCTGTTTATACTGGATTTTTCATAAATTTGAATTAAAGGTCTTTTATCTCTTAAAGTACTTAATATTTTCATGAATGTTTTATTATAAAATAATAAATATATGTATATTAGTGCACAGTATTTTTTCTTTTTTTATTCTACGTAAATTTCTTATAACAAACAAACACTTTTTTAATGAGTACTTTAAGAATAACTTATTTTACTTTAAAGTAAAAATCAATGTCTAAAGAAATAAAGTGAAATATACAAAATAATACTTTTAACATCATAACATACTATTTAAATGAAAAACTTATACGGTTTCAACGCGATGTATATTAGTTGAACTTGTTTGAAGTATTGGGATACTTCAAATAAGTTTAACTAATATATAACACGTTTTAAATCTTTAAAGTTTATTATTATTATATTGTATTTTATTTTATATCTACTCGAATAAACTAAAGACAATATTTAAACAACACTATGTTAAAAAAAAACGTAATTACCTGGTATGGCTACCTAAGGATTCCAATATGGGAGTAACTAAATTCTATAATAATTTTATACATGTTGCACTCAACTCCGGACAATCGTAGTAATTTGGAAAGTCTGCTTAGTTTATAAAACATTGTCGACAGATGAAATAATCGTGTTATTTTGCGTTACGTTTTCAGTCAGATTTCCATAGTCTTCGACGCACTATATAAGTTACAAAATTCGTGCGTTACTTGCGTTATGGACAGCAACTTAACGGGTCACAGGACCAGGCTTTAGGGGAGTTGAATCATATTTATAGATCCCCAATTTACTTAAGTATTGATCCGTTGAAGTACCCTTTAGGGAAACGGTTTATAACTCTTTCAAGCGCTATAGCTCTGTAAATCTGTACACATTTATTTTTTATGAGGAGGATAGACAAGCGTAGGATTCACATGGTAGGTGACATACCCCAGCTACATAACACTTGATGCGCTGTCGCCTCATTTTGGCTTTGGATATTCGAACATCCATAGACTGACACCGAAACGCGATTAACTTTGAGCTTTTTCATCTGTGGACGGTGGTCCGTAACGCGGGCGATATTTCAATATTTGACACCTAGATTTCTAGACTAAGTCCTACATGTTTCAGGAAAATTATAAATTTTTTAGAAGAATGTTGGACCCGGTGGGGATCGAAGCCACGACCCGTTGATTATTAGCTATACATTGCTATCATAACACCAACGAGTCCATGTACTTCTTTTTTGTTACCCGTGTTGTCTCTGATAGTAAAAATATCGCAAGTGTTATTTTAAAAATCGAAAATAAATTGAAAAAATTTTCGACTAAGGCAGGACTTGAACCGACATCGTCAGCGTTCCGTGCTGTTGCTCTGACGGAACGCTGACGATGCCGGTTCAAGTCCTGCCCGAGTCGAAATTTTTTTTCCATTTATTTTCGAATTTTAAATTATATAGTGCCTTCATGTGCAATAACATGTAAAAAATAATAAAGTTTTCAAATATCCCAAGTGTTGTATTAATTTTACGAGAGTGGAACGCAACAAATAAACCATTTCTAACCGTCTAAAACAGTTTTAGTCCCCAGGAACCACGACTAGTGTATATCGTTCAAAAACGTCGAATCGTAGTTAAAAATAAATAATTGTTTGTATTTGGCGTTTAATTATCGACCTCTTGCTCAATAAATTGAGATCGAAAATTCGATTCCCATTCATGTCAAATATTTTATATATCGCTATTGAAATATTTTTTTAAATTTGAAGCTCTTATTAGGAATATCATAATAAGATATTATAATTTACGCATTTATAAGCTATTTTAATCATCGTGTACAAATTTTGTTACGTAGAAAATTTGTTCTTTGAACACTTATAATCTCCTTATCTCAGGAATTACTGGTTTAAATTAAAAAAATATTTTTGTGTTATTTAGACCATTCATTCATTAAGGTTTAAGACTGTAAAACATGTAAAAATGCTGCAAGCAATAGGATAATGCGAAAAGATTGAGGAAATTTATTCATCTTCGAGGGTTTAAGATTTATAAAAACTACTTATGAAATAATTATTTTTCTTTACTCAATCGAGACAGTATATATGTTTTTAACATTAACTTATAAATAACGGTTTTATGGTAATAAAAATTCGTCGAAATAAATCATTTGGCAAAAGCCAGGTCAGCTGTTTATATTACAGTTAAATACAAGCTCATTGGTACCATTAAAGCAAGATATAGCTAATCAACGGGTTCAATTCCAACCAGATCCAACATTATTATAATTAGTTTATAATTTTTCTGAAATATGTTAATCTGGGGATCTGAATATTACATGGGTGGTAGGAATATCAAATTTCCCTCCACATTACGAACTACCGTCCACAGATGATAGAGCTGTCAAGTTGAACCGCGTTTCGATTTCAGTCTATGGGTCCCGAACATCCAATGTCGATAGTGCATCTCGTTTAGATGTTATATGGCTATCCCCCTCTATCATAAAAAATATATTAAATGTAAACGTGGACAGCTCGCGTATTTACAATACTTACCACAGTGTCAATAATGACAAGACCACAGCAGCCCACCCCCACGCATTGAGATGCATTGACCAAATAACTGTTGTATTGTCATTTGAATTGTTGAAAATGCCGTCCAGTTTAAGACAGACACGACGGCTGTGGAATTAGGACAGGTTGCAACCTTTCGAAATTGGGTCACAAAAGAATGTACTATAATACTGTCTATACTTTACGCGAGTAGTACTTATTTAAATAAAACACTTTAACGGTTTAAAACGCGATATATTAGTTAAACTTATTTTAAAAATGATTTTTAACTTTAGTCTCCCCGTGACCACGGCTGCTGCAAAACATCCGAAACGTCGGGCCGAAGTTAAAAACCATTTCCAAATAAGTGTAACTAATATATCGCGTTTTAAACCGTTAAAATGTTTTATTTAAATATGTACTATTATGTAGGTAGCGATGAAACGGTTGTTGATTACCAGATTCGTTTTTGTTTTTTCTAACGAAACAACGGAAGCTCCTTACTTCGGATCTGTTACTTAGTTTCATAATATGCGGGGGATAATTGGTTTGAAACTCTGGAAAACAATAAAATCATCAATGCATTTTAATTATAATAACAAATCTCTTTAGTACTAGTATATTAGAAAGAAATAATCGTAATAATAATTTAATAACTAATACAACAAGATTAAATTTAATCTGAAGAAAAGTGAATCCAAAAGGGTCTTGCGTCAGTATAAGATGCAGCACAGTTATTCTTAAACGCTGATTTTCAGCAAAACCTTACTGTTCGTCTGTTAGACAGAGCTCATACAATCATGTGATATTTTAAATATCAATGACACAAGCATTATGTAGCTAATGCAATTATTAAAAGCTTTTATTTAGCTCGACCCCTACGGAATTTATTTATTTGGGTCTAAAAACATTTCCGTTGTCAGATTGATCTGAAATTTGGTACTCACCTTTAGTTTAGATGACAATACGCATTAAAAATCCAAGATGGCCGCCACTACAAAATGGCGCATTACATATTCTTTCTGAACCCCCTCAATATGGGTATCAAATGAAAGGGCTAAACTAGTAAAAAACGATGATTATGTCATTTTTTTGTAGTGCACAAAAAATAAACCGTTTAACTTAAAATATTTTTTTAATTTGATACTTGTTTTTAAGTTACCGGTGAATAAAGCCGCTGTGGAACTTTACTATGTCTGTGTTGCCTTCTTATAAGATAAACACACAGATAATCTATACAATATGGTATTGCATATATGGCATAATATTTGCAACATTTTAT